GTCAATTTCAAACAATATATGTTTATTATATAATCCATTTTATGTGGTACCAATAGAATCTAGAGAGTCAATTAAATTTTTTATATAAGTTTTAAATAATTAAGCTGTTAATTATTGTAATGTATAGTATTACTTATATTATTTTTAAATATATTTAAATATTATATCTTAGGTTTTTTATCCTAATTTATATGGCATTGATAGAATTTAAAGTGTGAAATAATTCTTAATTATTGTAATAGATAATATGGAGTATTTAAGTCATTTATAGTATAGTAATTAATATATAATATGTAGTATTTAAGTGGAAGGTGGTGGGGCCCACTTATATATTTTATATAGTAAGTATTGGACATTTGTAATGATTTTATTGGAACAATAGTAGTAAATCCTAGACTCTTCTACTATATAGTAATAAGCCTGTTATACATGATATATGGTCCAACTTCCAAAAAAAAAAAAACTCATTCTTGTTTTAAAAACATCAAAATCATCATGTATATACAACTTACTAGTCCCTAGGCACATGCGTTGCATGTGTATCTTGTGTTAATTAGTACAAAACAATTAAATGATATAGATGCTACTAAAAACTTGCAAGTAATATTGAGCAACTAAATTTTGAAAGAGAAGTATAATGGTTTGTAGTTATACACAATCAATTGAATTGGTATATGTGATATTTTTCTTATATAGTTCTAATATATCTTATACATAGTAAAACATTTCCATTATTATTTTTTTAATATTTCACCAACAAATAGTTTATATGTGACATAAGTAACATTGATTATGTATGCAAGTGTTTCACACATCTTAAAGTTTGTATCTTGTGTAAGAAACTGTAACCTCCTTTTTATAGACACATGCATATCAAGAAGTTGTTGCCGAATAAAAGTCGTATTTCATGTTGTATAAATACTGATCAACATATGTTTCTTTAAGGTGAATAATGTATCATTGTCAATTTCATGGGATACACTTAAAAAATAATGTTTATTTGTGATAGAGATAGTTAATAATTAGTGGCATTAAAACAAATCAAGAAAAAGATATACATTAAAGAAAAACAAATACAAAAAATATCGAGAACTATATAGAGAGGATAAAAAGTAAAGAAATGATAATAGATTACAATATATATATATATATATATATATATAAAATAGATTTAATGAAGTTAGCTATTCATATTCCTAACTAAAGAGATTCCATGCATCTATTGACCATTCAATTTAATTTAATTAAATATACGTCTAGAAAACTGAAAAATATCTTGATGCTTAGAAAATTGAAAATATTTTGATGCTTAGAAAACTGAAAATGCCTAAAAGCCATATTGGAGGAGGTGTAACTCATAACTAATGAATAAAAAATTAACTTTTGTGTTGGATTAGTAGTTAATAATTAATTAATATAAATACTTTACAACATTTTAATTTAGTGTAGGGGCGAAAAGGTAATCCAACTTACACTTTGGTGCTTCCCACTTTTAATAATATATAAATAAATAATAGGCTTAAGTCATCTGTAGCCACTTAAAGTTGTCCGCATATTTCACTTGGACACCTTATCTTACATTTGTTCCAATTGAGCACCTTTATTAGTAAAAAAAAAAATACCTATTGAACATTTTTTGACAATCAACTAAAAATACAAATTGTGTGTCATCCACTCGTGATGACATGGCATAATAACTAATTAGAAAAAGACATGTGGCCTTGGGCCCATAATAACAATTAAAAAATACATTAAAAATAAAATAAAATTAAAATTTGTTTTCAGCCCCAAAAAAAATTTGGAAAAACCTTTCTCCCCATTTTCTTCTTTGCCAATGACCCAGGCACCCACCCACCCCGACGTTCATCCTTTCCCAGTTTCTTCTTTGCTAGTACACACAGCCGCTTCCGACTGAAACCACCCATTCTCCGATAATTGTTCTCACACCGATTACCACACACCTACCTCCTCTCCTTTAACAATTTCAAAGAAAATAATTTCAGATTCATATTAGTCTTGTCGGAAAAAATGGAGTTTCGCCGGAATTATTTTTGACTCAATTTAATTTTTATTTTTGATGAAATTCTCTTCTATAACTCAAATGAAAATCTTTATCAGTAAATTCTTTTGATTTCTTGTGTTCTGACTAATTATTAGTATTTAATTGATGCTTTTCCGATGAAGAAAACAACGACGACTATATCGATGATGGCGGCATGATGCTAGAAAGAAAGAAAAAATGAAGGATTAGATGGGGAAGAGTTGTGTCGAGGGGTGGTGGCGAAGGAATTTGCCTGATGAAAATATTGGATTGAGTAGGGAAGACAAATTGGGGAAGATGATGCTAGGGATTTTTTATTTTTTTTTAATATGTTTAAGTTATAATTTTTCTAATGTTGATATCTTCATTTTTTATTGGTCTGCCAAAATAAGTTTCTGGCTTCACGCGCTTCCTTAGATCTATAATACACTCATGATGTCATGTCACCGAAAAGTATTTAATAGGTACAAGTTTTGAACGGTAAAGGTGTTCAATAGGTATAATGTCTAATTGAGGTGTCTAAACGAATTATGTGAAAAACTTTAAGTGTCTGCAGATGACTTAAGCCTAAATAATATGATACATAGCAATATTTTAGTATCGAATAATATAATTATGCATATGTGTACGTAGGAGTGTCCCCTATAACATAGAGCACAAAAAACATTTTTTCAGTCTGATGTTGTTTCACAATCTTTGCCTTTTCTATGTCTATCAATAACTTTCCATCAAACAATCATATAAAGTATACAAAAGAGTGCCTTCAATTTAGAAGTCCTTGAGATCATCGATTGCGAGAAACTGGTGAATGGCCGAAAAGAGTGGCATTTACGGACAATCTCGTCTCAGAGAGTTGCAGATCATTAAGCAAGACATTTGTGCTGACAAAAATATCCCTTCTTTTTATGTTTTTTTTTTCACATTTTTTTTTCTTTTTTCCCCTAAATTTCTTCAACACAAATAACCCCTTAACCCCCACAACCTAAAAACACTCAAATAAAAAAATTAACCTTGAACACACTCACGCCCAAAATAAATATAAACAAAAAACAAAGCCGAACTGCACATTTCAAAATGGAAGTAGAATATATGGAAAATCCAATTGTGCCGCCGTGGCTGGAATTGCCGTCGGAGATTACATCAATGATACTACAGAAGCTTGGGACTATAGATATATTGAAGAATGCCGATAAAGTGTGTACAACTTGGCACCAATTGTGCCAAGAACCAGACATGTGGCAGGTTATCAAATTGCAAAATGCCAACACCGACGATTTCTGGGACAGTAAGGATGCCTTAGAGAAGATATACCATCCAGCTGTGGATCGTAGCCAGGGTCAATTAATTGATATCAGTATTGACTACTATGGCATCGAAAATATGCTCAATTATATGCTCAATTATGTTGCTCAAAGGTTCCATTTTTTAAACCCTAATTTCAAATGTTGCAAATCTATTTCTAGTAATTAACTCTGTATCTTTTCAACAGATCACCTCAGCTCAAACGTCTTGAACTCATATGTTCCTATAATGTCTTCGGCGATGAGTTGAGTGCTTCAGTGAAGAAGTTCCCATTGTTGGAGGAACTGTAGAGAATAGTAGAAGAAAAGTATAATTCGAGAAGCCTTCTGCTAGCCCAAGATCGTTAACTAAGGTCGGAAGATTCAACTAAAGAAGAGAAAGCTAGAAAGGAGAACTTGTTTATGGAAGAAAACTATTTTATTTGAGTTGTTCTTGGTTTTTTCTTTTGTTAATTACAAATGCCTAATGTCATCCCTATTTATACTTATAGGGATGCTTCTAGAAACTATTCTAGCTACATCTACAAGAAATATCTAGATATCCTTATCTTCTAACTATGTAACAAGAATCAAGATATTTCTATATTTTACTATAAATATCTAATTATCTAGATTCTAGAACATCTAGATTTTTTTAAAGTATAAATATCAAAGATATTTACTCTACAAAATTCTGGAAAGTTCTACTAAATGTCTAAGATATTTTTTGTACCTCCAAAAAATCATCTTTATTTTTCACACTCCCCCTTAAAGCGATTTTTTGGAAACTACCTTGCACTTGTCGTGGAAGAACTCAAACGAAGCTTTGAGCCACGTCTTGGTGAAAATCTCGACAGTTTCTTCCAAACTCCTCTTACTTCTTCAAATGATAAAAATTCTTCATTGTCATGTAGATTATCTCCTTGTTGAGTTTTCAGACTCCCCATCCCTTTCTCTTAACTTCTCGACAGTTATTTTATCTAGAGAAACACTATCAATTTCTTGTAAAGTCTCAACACCGACATAGGATCCACTGTCATATTCTCTTATCATCTCCCCGATAGATTTTTTGGCAGCTTCAGAGATTTGAAAAATCATATCGTTTGTCTATGAGACTTAAATATCAACTTCTTCTCTATTTGATCTCCACTTTCTCTATCTGCTTTTAAAATTTCCTCTGAGTCATTAACTGGCCTTGATATTGCAGATGATTGACCAAATACTTCCGCTTCCAATACATCTCCCTCAATGCTTTCACTATAAAGGTCTCCAGTAGCACATGTAGTTTTAGATATTGCTTGTTTAGGATCTTCTTCTTTGATTTCTTCGATAGAAGCTACCATATCACCTCTAAGAACATCCTTAAAAAATTCGTGTTTCGTGCCATCAACATCAACTTCTTGCTTTTCCACGTGATCGACTATATTATATTCTAGATCCTCGATCCAATCTCCTTCAAGATTGAGGGAAATCATGGCATCTATTGCTCGAGCCTCAGCTACTAAACATTGTTCCCACTTTTCTTCTTCTTCAGGAACCTTTTGAGCCATATTGCTCTCCTTGGCTAGGCAATATCTTTTTATGTGTCCTAAATTACCACATCGATAGCATCTCAGAGGCTTCTTACCATAATAGTTAGAAGACTCTTCCTTCTTTCCAGGCGAGGTTGAATCACCTGAGGATCGAGAGTGCAACATATCTCTTGATTTTCCTTTGAAGTTTCTCTTGTCTGCTACAAGAGCATCTCCTTCTCCATCCTTGACAAACACACTAGCCAACTGCTTGGCTAGTAATTCGTGTGACGACAACAAATTTTCAAATTCCTCCAAGGATGGTTGTTGAACCCATCCTTGAATCGATGTCACAAATGGAATATATTTAGGTTTCAACCTACGAATGACTATTCTTCTCATTCGTACTTCAGAAATACCTCTTCCGGATTCAACAAAGATATCTCAGAACATAAGTTCTTAATCTTTAAAAAATACTCGGCAATAGAAAGGTTACCTTGAGTGGTGTTAGCTAATTCATTCTCCAATATCTACAATCGGGCTTCATTCTTCTTGTTGAACAAACGATCAAGGGTCCTCCATATTTCATGAGCTAATTTACACTTTATATTATGATCGAATAAATCGGAAGAGATTGTCCTCTTCAGAATGAACTCCACCGTCGCATTAATCTGCTTCCACTTCTTGTACGCACTGTTATTTTTCGGTCCGTCATCGGGAGGACTTGTGTTATTCCCATTAACAACATCCCACAAATCATCTCCCACAAGGTATGATTCCATACATGTCTTCCATACCTTGTAATTGGACTGATTCAACAACTCCATTGCCAGTCCATTAACACGGCCGCTAAAATCCATATAGACAAACCAATTGAATCTACCACTAACTCGATCTTGAAATAACACCTAGAAACCAACATATGGTTATGTCTCTGATACCATGTAGAGAATAGCAGAAGAAAAGTATAATTCGGGAAGCCTTCTGCTAGCCCAAGATTGTTAACTAAGATCGGAAGATTCAACTAAAAAAGAGGAAGCTAGAAAGGAGAACTTGTTTATGGAAGAAGACTATTTTATTTGAGTTATTCTTGGTTTTTTCTTTTGTTAATTACAAATGCCTAATGTCATCCCTATTTATACTTGTATAGGGATGCCTCTAGAAACTATTCTAGATACATCTACAAGAAATATCTAGATATCCTTATCTTCTAACTATGTAATAAGATTCTAGATATTTCTATATTTTACTATAAATATCTAATTATCTAGAATATCTACATTTTTCTTAAGTACAAAATATCAAAGATAGTTACTCTACAAAATTCTAGAAAGTTCTAATAAATATCTAAGATATTTTTTGTACTTCCAAAAAATCATCTTTATTTTTCACAGGAACTGCACCTTTGCTACATCCAAATCACTAAACAAGGCATTGAAACTATAGGCCGCTCTTGCCGTTATTTAAAGTTGTTTAAGTTGAAAAACCAGATCTATGGATATGAAAAATATGACGGAGAAGCCATAACAATTGCAGAGAACTTGCCTGAACTACACCACCTTCAACTCCTTGGAAATAAGATGGCAAATGAAGGATTGGAAGCTATTCTTAATGGTTGTCGTCACCTTGAATCACTTGATCTACGACGATGTCTTAATGTCCATCTAGGAGGCGATGTTCTCAACAGATCAAATATCTTAGACACTCTCGGGACCGCACCGAAGATTTTGGGTTTGGTATTGAAATGCACAATTTTGAATCATTTGATGAGCATACCTATGAGCAAAATTCTTGTAAGTGTGAACACATAAATTCTTGGTAGCGTGAGTGCATAGAAGGATACACTCATAGGCAGATAATTCACTGGCTTTCTAATCATCGACCTCATCTCGGATGATGATGATTATTATGAATTTTTTTATGCCAACAACTACTCTAATGAAGATGAGATGTTCTTCAAATGTTGAGGCCCTCTATCTTGTTGATGGTAAATTGCATCAATCCTTTAATTTCCTAATTGTCCTTTTTCTCTTTGTCATATTATGAAGTATAATTAGTTGATTGGTTTGTTAAGCCCTAAGAATATGTTAGAACAATTGAACAAGATTAATGATAAAAATATAAGGAATCCAAAACAAAACTTGCTTGGCTTAGAGGCACGTTAATACGTTTCTTGAAGATAGTTGGAGTCTCTCCCACGCGCAATCGGAAGAATAAATAACAAATCTATATTCGGGATTCAACTAAGCCACAAAACAAGTAACATTCAAGAATGTTGCTCTTCTATTCTTGAATGGGTGATTTCACCTTTTGATTAATGTCTCACAAGTGTTTTTCAAGGGAAAGTAGTTTTTTTGAGTGCTTATCTTTTCAGCCAAAAGAAACTTAATTTATAGGACAAAGTTTTGGAAGAAAAAAGACTTTAATTAAATTGTATTTATTATAGGTTCATGAATTAAAAAAGAAAAAACATATCTTCCAAAAAAAAACCATAACGTAGAATTAAAAAGCCTCTTTCAAAAAATCATATAACGTAGAATTAAAACAAAATGAATGTTACAACTCACATTCATGTATTTTGTTATTTCAAAACTTTTAATAGATGAATTTGTTTCAAAATTAATTGAAACACTAACTCTTACAATCCCCCACTTGTTTCAAGAAATTTTTATCTTTGAAAAATCCAAAAATATTTTGAGACATTAATCTAGCAACATGCATCAATAATGGTGTCTTTTGGACTTGAACCATTAGCTAGTGAAGACTTTCTAAATCATTGACTACTTAGTGAATAAATCTTGAACTAAGTGGTTCATTGAATGAAATAGAAAAATACTCCACACATAGCACTTTGTTCCGATGAAAATCAAAATCCTTTGACACCTTACGACCATGTGTCCTGAATCCTTTTAGCCAAGTGCTTTAAGATTTCCCTGCTAAAATCTTATTGAAGCGACCTCCACTTAGCACTTAGTGCAGTGAATTCATCAAGAGTAACTTTGCATACTCCGACAAAATAGTCTATGAATTTCATTAAGAGAAATTAATCTCATTCTCATTTACAACAAAGTATCGGTAAGTCTATCAAGAGTATTCCTACACACTTCAATCAAAATCGATTTATAGACTTATTAAGAGAATATAATCTCATCATTCTCTTTAGGAGGAATATCGAAAAAATTTATCAAGAGTTTTCTTACTTACTCCAACCGAGATCGGTCTTATAAATTTATTAAGAGAAAAGAATCTCAATCATGCACATCTACTTATTTCATTTTATTTGAAAATGGGAATTTTATTGATGTGCGCGCTTCACAATTGTAACTTTACTTGTTTTTCCCTTTGAACCCAAGATTACATCATTAGGTAGGGTTACCATAAAGTACAATTAATTTACAACAGGCTTTATTCCCATCCCATTACAAGTTTCCATCACTAACTCTTTGCCTAACCCTTTAGACAAAGGATCCGCTAAATTAAATCTGGACTTCACATATTGAAGCGATATCACGCCTTCCTCCAATAATCTCCTCACATGATTGTGTTTGAGACAAACTTGTCTCGACTTGCCATTGTAGCAATCACTTGAAGCCCGAAATATAGCCGCTTGATTATCACAATAGATAATTAAAGGTGGCACTGGCTTACTCCACAAAGGAATATCTATCAACATAGATCGCAACTAATCAACTTCTTCTCCAGCAGAAGACATAACTATAAATTCTGACTCCATGGTTGAGTGAGTAATACATGTCTGATTCTTTGATTTCCAAGAGATCGTTGCTCCAGCCAAAGTAAAAATTCAAGCAATAATAGATTTAGAGTCATTCAGATCAGAATTTCAAGTAGCATCGCTATAGCCTTCAAGAACAGCTGGAAATGTAGAATAATGTAGGCCAACATTAATCGTACACTTCAGGTATCTTAAAACACGAATTAAGGCATTCCAATGTTCAATTCCAGGATTACTAGTAAACTTGCTCAAAGTTCCTACTGTGTAACCAATATCCGGCCTGGTAGAATGCATACCATACATAAGACTCCCAACAATCTGAGAATATGTCAGCTAATCAAGAACATTACCAGAGTTCCGCATTAGTTTGATGCTAGGATCAAATGGTGTAGGAGCAGGTTTATCGTCAAAGTGACCAAACCTTTTTAGAACTTTCTCAATATAACTTGATTGAGTAAGAGTCAAGCCATTCGCTGATCTCATGATTTTAATCCCCAAAATTACATTAGCTTCTCCTAGATCTTTCATTTCAAATTGAGAAGCTAGAAAATATTTTGTTTCTTTGACTCTTTCAATATCAGTTCCAAAGATCAACACATCATCTACATAAAGACATATTATAACACCAGATTTTTCTTAAAATTTGCTAAATATGCAAATATCACCACAATTGATTGAGTAGCCATTAGAAATCATTACTCTTCTAAATTTCTCATTCCATTGTTTTGGAGCTTGTTTTAATCCATAAAGAGATTTAAGAAGCTTACAAACTTTGTGTTCTTGACCACGAACGACAAATCCTTCTGGTTGTTTCATGTAAACTTCTTCATCTAGATCTCCATTCAGAAATGTAGTCTTCACATCCATTTGATGAATTACCAGACTATGAATTGTGGCTAAAGCAATCAAAAGTCGAATAGAAGTCATTCGAGCTACAGGTGCAAATGTATCAAAATAATCAATATCTTTCAATTGAGTAAAACCTTTTGCTACCAAACAAACTTTGTACTTTATCTAAGGTACCATCAGATTTCTATTTCTTTCTAAAGATTCATCTACAACCAATAGACTTACATCCAGGAGGGAGGTCTGATAAAATCCATGTATTATTTGACATAATAGAGTGCATTTCATCATCGATAGCTTCACGCCAGAAAGGAGCATCATCTGAAGACATTGCTTCAGCATAACTTTCAGGATCCTTTTCAACTAAATAGACTTGAAAATTAGGTCTAAAGTCTCTTGGTTTGGCTGATATTGCACTACGTCTTGGTTGACTTTCTTCCAAAGGCTCAACTATTTTACTTTTAAGAGAAGATATAGAAGAACTTGTATGTTGTTCCAAAGATTCCTTTTTCTTAGGAAATATATGCTCAAAAAAGTTAGCATGCAACAATTTAATAATTATGTGAGGGCTTGGGGTCTCAAGATTTAAAAATCTATAAGCCTTACTGGTTTGTGAATGACCAATAAATACACAATCTCCTCCTCTATAGCCAATCTTAGTCAAATGTTGATCTGGTAATCTAACATGAGCCAAACAACCCCATACTTTAAAATAATTTATATTTGGCTTTCGATTCTTCCAAAGTTCATATGGAGATGAATCATGTTTCTTGAAAGGAATTCGATTCAAAATATGACATGCAGGAAATAAGGCTTCAGTCCACAAATTTTCAGTGATACCAGATCCATAAAGCATAGAGTTAACCATTTCAATGAAAGTTCTATTTTTCTTTCTGCTACACCATTTTGTTGTGGTGTATAAGACATAGTCAATTGTTTCTCAATGCCTTCTTTTCACAAAATCAATAAAATCTGATTTTAAATATTCTCCACCTCTATCAGATCTAATTGATTTAATCTTCAAACTCAATTTATTTTCAACTTCTGCTTTATATGATTTAAAAGTCTCAAATGCCTCATCTTTTGTTTTTAATGAAAATACATGTGTACACCTTGAGTAATCGTCAATAAAAGTGATAAAATATCTCTTTCCATGACGTGATAAACAATCCATCTCACAAATATCAGTGTGGATTAACTCCAAAAGTGTGGATATCCTTTCAGCAGACTTAAAAGGTTTCTTTGTTATTTTACATTTACTACAAGTAATACATTTAGCAACATGATCCTTTCCATAGTCTTTAATTAATCCATTTTTTCACCTTAAGTTGAATGTATCTAAAATTCATATGACCAAGACGTTCATGCCATAAATCTAAAGACTCCACAACATAAGCAGAAATATTTTCATTTTAAATATTGAGTTTGAACATGTCATTTGTAGCATAACCTTTTCCAACAAACATGTCTTGTTTAGACAAAATAAATTTATCTGCCTCAAAAATTATTTTAAAACCATGCTTCGAAAGAAGCGTACTTGACACCAAGTTCTTTCGAATATCAGGAACATGAAATACATCTATCAATGTGACCATCTTTCCGGAAGTGAATTTCAGTTCAACAGTTCCTTTTCCCACAACCTTAGCAGAGGATGAGTTTCCTATATGCAAAACTTTAACGCCCCCACTAATTCATAAGTCGTGAAAGAATTTCGATTACCTGATATATGATGAGTTGCACCAGTGTCTATCCACCATTCCACTTGATCTCCCGCTACAAATGCTTCCGTGACCATTGTCAGTAGTTCATTTTTTGTATTGTTATTTGCCTTTTCTTTCTTCTTTTCAGCTTTAAGAATTTTACAATCACATGCATAGTGACCAGTTTTATGACAATGATAACATTCATTCGACTTAGAATTGGAATTAGTACGCTTAAATTTTTTACTCTTCTTTGCCTTCAAAAATTTATTATTGGCGGGCTCCTTCTTGATCGATTTTTCTTCAACAAGATGAGCTTTCATGATGGGCTCCTTCTAGATATTATTGTCGCGATATCGTGTCTCTTGTTCAATTTGCAAGTGCTGCAATAATTGTTCAAGAGTCAAATCTTCCTTCTTGTGCAAGAGTTTGCTTCTGTACTCCTTCCAAGATGGAGGAAGTTTTGAAACAATAACACCAACATGAAAATTTTCATCAAGTGCAATTCCAGATATAGCAATTTTATTAGCTATAAGTTGAAATTCTTGTACTTGTTCAGTGATTGACTTGTCATCAACCATTTTGAACTCCATATAATTTGGAACAAGAAATTTCTTTGAACTCGCCTCTTCTGTTAAATGGATAGTTGTAAGAGTATCCCAAATCTCCTTAGCAAATTTGCATTTAATATAATATTGATCATAATATTTATTGGACATTCCTCCAAGAATATAATTCTTGCATAAGTAATCATTATCTTGCCATTTGGCAATTTGTTCTTTAATCAGAGTAGCCTCGTCCGTTGCTACCTCAGAACCAGGTTCGTCAGGACAAGGTTTCTCAAGAACATATGCCAACTTTAATCGTCTTAAAAAGAATTCCATCTTTCCACGCCATCTAGGAAAGTCTTTGCCATCAAATATTTCAAAATTAGGATTAGGCAAAGATGGAACATTGTTTGTTATAGATGTGGATGTCATAGAGACAACTATCTTCAAAATTGTTAGAACAACTGAACAAGAATGATAAAAATATGAGGAATCCAAAACAAAACTTGCTTGGCTTAGAGGCACATTAATACGTTTCTTGAAGATAGTTGCAGTCTCTCCCACGAGCAATCGGAAGAATAAATAACAACTCTATCTTCGGAATTCAACTAAGCCACAAAACAAGTAGCATTCAAGAATGTTGCTCTTCTATTCTTGAATTGGTGATTTCACCTTTTGATTAATGTCTCACAAGTGTTTTTCAAGGGAAAGTCGTTTTTTTGAGTGCTTATCTTTTCAGCCAAAAGAAACTCAATTTATAGGACAAGGTTTTGGAAGAAAAAAGACTTTAATTAAATTGTATTTATTAAAGGTTCATGAATTAAAAAAGAAAAACTTATCTTCCAAAAAAAACCATAACGTAGAATTAAAAAGCCTCTTTCAAAAAATCATATAACGTAGAATTAAAACAAAATGAATGTTACAACTCACATTCATGTATTTTGTTATTTCAAAACTTTTAACGGATGAATGTATTTCAAAATTAATTGAAACACTAAATATAAAGGTATCTTTTTCGGCACTTTCTAAGTAACTGGAGATGATGAATCATTGTATAAGGAATAAAGCTGGCTTGTTGGGTAAAAAATCTATAGCAGCTTGATCCTATAGAACGAGAGTTACCTTGCGATATCTGGGTTGCAGCATGTTATATTTTTGTCATTTTAAGTTTTGTGTTGTTGCCTCGTTTACAGATGTGTCAACTATACGAACACTTGAGTGACTAGAGTCTGAACATTGTATCACAATGCCCACGCTTTACCAAACTCTTTGATATAGGATGGTTTTGGGAATGACTAAACTTGAGGATCTGATTATAGAAAAGTTGACAAAGTGACTTCTTTCTCCGTCTTTCTGGAATCTTTTCTAATAGGCATAAAACAGACACCTTAACTTGGCCTCAATTGGCAACTAAACACTCCAACATTGAGAATGCATATCTAGACACCTCAATTCGTTCCCACTGTGTCTTGACTCTCGTGGACATCCAACAACACATAAATTTTGGAGGTGTCTAGATGATCATTCTATAAGTTGGAGTGTTCAACTCACACAGTGGAAACAAGTTGAATTGTCTAGATTTGCACCCTCAAAGTTGGAGTGTTGAGTTGTCAACAGAGTCCAAGTTAAGGTGTCTATCTATGTATTATGTCTTTGCAATAATATCATGACAAGCTGACCCAATTCAAGATATTTGTTACTCCGTCTGCTGAGATTATTGTTTTATAGAAGGAAAAAAACTGGAATATACTGCCTGATCCTATAGAGCTTGCCTCGCGATATCTAGATTGCAGCATGTTTAGTCGCTAACCTCTGTGTTGTTGCCTCGTGCTGCACAAGCACTCGAGCAAGTACGTTATTGTATCACCATTCCCTTGCTTAACTGTGCTTTCTCGTGTAATATGGACTAAACTTGAGGATATTTGAAGGGGGAGAAATTGTCAAAATGACTGTTTTCTTTGCTCCTGCTAGAATATTTTGTAACAGCATGATATGATGACCTGAAGCCAACTGAAGATGTTATGTTTCTACTTCTCTGCTAACTGCTAAGATTGGTGAGATGTGAAGGGTCGAATTCTAATACAAATACATAAAACAGTTCAAGAGATTTTTCTGTTGTTTTTTGCCAATTTTTATTGCAGTGTGAAACAATTATCATAAATCTTGTGATTCAAAGATGGAAAAATTACATAATTAGGCAAACATGCGATATGTATTTACTATATATAACCATAATTTAAAAGAACTACAATTTGTAGCTACAATTAGTGTTATATAGTAAATTTCTCTCTCTTCTATCCCTCGCCTCTCACCGGACTCTCACTTGTCTCTCTCCCTCCTTCTTCCCTCTCTGGCTCACCTCCTCTATCTCGCTCTCTATGTAATACAAATACAAATGGAAACAATTGTTGAAACAATTACAAATGGTAACTGTCAATTATACGTAACATTTTCAGTGATGCAAAATACAAATGAGATTTTTCAATATAATGATACAGATGCTTGTCTATGATTCAAGGAAACATATGGTAACAAATACAGTTGTACAAATCAAAGTGGTATTCATTGATACAAATTGTATTGGGATATAAATTGTATTCATGAATACAATTGATTTGTATCAATGAATACAATACTTTTTTATACAAATCAATATAGTGCATGATAATTAATTATCAGTCATACAAATCAATTGTATCTCTCTCGCTCTCTCTTCCTTCACGCAATCTCGCTAGTTTTTGATATAACTACCAGGCTTCACCTTCTGAGGGGTAAAGGAAACACAAAAAGTTTGGGGAAAATGCACAAGTACCCCCAACCTATGCCCGAAATCTCAAAGACACACTTATACTATACTAAGGTCCTATTACCCCGCCCCCCTCCCGAACTTATTTTATAAATAATTTTCTACCCCTTTTCGGCCTACGTGGCACTATCTTCTAGGCCCAGAGCGTGTTGACAATTTTTTCAAGCTATCTGGTTGATAGTATCACGTAGGCTGAAAAGAGGTAAAAAATTATTTATAAAATAAGTTCGAGGGATAATAGGACCTTAGTATAGTGTAAGTGTCTCTGGGATTTCGGGCTTCGATTGGGGGTACTTAGGCATTTTCCCAAAAGTTTGTTGTCTCCTCAGGGTTAAAAGGAAATTGATTAACAATCAGTTGCACTGTTCGGGGCTGATTAACAGCACATTCTTTTGGTGCTTCACTTCCAAGGGACTAAGCAATGTCTACCACTTTCTTTCAGTGGAAAGTGACCATAAAGGCTCGTATCCTCTCATTGATGAACTAAAAATAATAAGTAATTTGTATTTAATATGATTATGGAAAATGCATAAGTACCCCCAACCTATGCCCGAAATCTCAAAGACACACTTATACTATACTAAGGTCCTATTACCCCGCCCCCCTCCCGAACTTATTTTATAAATAATTTTCTACCCCTTTTCGGCCTACGTGGCACTATCTTCTAGGCCCAGAGCGTGTTGACAATTTTTTCAAGCTATCTGGTTGATAGTATCACGTAGGCTGAAAAGAGGTAAAAAATTATTTATAAAATAAGTTCGAGGGATAATAGGACCTTAGTATAGTGTAAGTGTCTCTGGGATTTCGGGCTTCGATTGGGGGTACTTAGGCATTTTCCCAAAAGTTTGTTGTCTCCTCAGGGTTAAAAGGAAATTGATTAACAATCAGTTGCACTGTTCGGGGCTGATTAACAGCACATTCTTTTGGTGCTTCACTTCCAAGGGACTAAGCAATGTCTACCACTTTCTTTCAGTGGAAAGTGACCATAAAGGCTCGTATCCTCTCATTGATAGAATGCTTTATAGCATTTTCACAGATAAAATTCTAAACTACCTGAAAACTTGGACTATGACTTGGTGGACTGGTCAGTGGTCACAAGTATAACAGCAACATGAGATACATGCAATAAGATAGGCTCTATCACAAGTGAGACGTCGACATCACATCAAGGGGTTCTACTCTATGAAGCTCATATAAAATATAGGATAACAAGTAAATACAGATACTATTGAGAAACTCTAATGCTATTGAGTAATCAGGTAAGCGGAGAACTCCAGGAAAGAAACCTCCCTCCAATTCTTTCTTTAGAAAAGAAATGAAGTAGGAGATAACACCTACTTTACCTGTGCAAAAAGTGGTGGGAGAGTTCAAACTGGTTTTCAACTTTAAATTTTCATAGAATAAAAAGACCAGGATTGCACAAAATGAATAGAAATTACAAAACATTAGAGCAAGCTTTCTTCCATGACTATTAGAGAATAAACATTGTTACTTAACATGAAGAACTACTAACAAGTCCTTGGATATGGTCTTCAGATATGGAAATGAGCCATTAAAATTATGTGACTCAAACCTCCTGGTCTGTTCGTCCTCATTTGTGTACCTAGACAGCAACTACTGTAGGAAAGAATTCACTATATTAACTTGTTATTTTCCTTAGATGGAAGCAGGAAACCAAGGAATTGATTGTGGATAAAATAAAAAGATTATGACTTTTCAATACAAGGAACAACTCAGTACATAGCAAATGTTACAATGTGGTACATGCCGACAATAAAAAGATGTTTCAAAGATCTGATCATTTATCTCCTCACATTAAGGTGAGTACAATCACTTGTTAAACATCTTTTACCAACAATTACAAAAAGTTTACTCATATAGTCTACTTGATAGTGACAACATGAATCAAAGCAACACAAGCTGAACTATTTTATGAATGAAAATAAATTGAGAGCACAAAATAGTTCATCTGAACGTCTTACAACAAAAAAGAAATAATAAGCACGCAATTGAGACTAGAAAAGCAGACTTTGAACAAAAGATATGACTGAAGCTTTTTCACTTTCCTATGGGCTTAAATGGTATCCTGAACATCGTGTTAGAAGCATTTGGGTGGAAGCCGACTCTTTACTTATTGTGAATGTTCATGTGAGTTGCAAAACCATCTTGGGAATCTGAACCTTATATAGAAAAGATTAAGGAGTTGACTCATAAGTTGAGGTGACGGAGAAGCGATTTGTGTGGCTGATTCTTTAGTTCGATACAATCACCTAGTGGATGTAGAGAAAAACATTTTCAACTTTAACTCACTATGAAGAGAAGCTAGAGGGAAGCTCTTTTCCTTCATAATTGAAAAGAAAGCCCAATAGCTTATCTCCAATAATGCAACCAGATGAACTTCCCAGTTTGATCCTTCAGTCAGTTCACATGTTACTTGTCTCACTTTTTCTCCATTTTAGCTCTTATGGAAGCAACGTACACGGAAGCAGTCTCCACAAATTAGAAGCTATTGTTGAAAAACTCATTAAGTACTTAAGCTAGCTTCAAATTGCAAATGGGAGTCCTTGCTTTGTTTATACATTAAGGATTATCTCTTACACTTTTGTCAAACATTGAACCTCCTTAATTTTCTCTACACTTGAGGATTGAACTGATACAAGTCTCACTTTTTTTTTAACTACTAGGAGGGTCTAAATTAAAAAGATATTCTGATAAGAAATGTTAATTTATCATCTTCCTCATCCACTAATAGTTGTTTGAAATGAATAACATGAAGTAACAAATATAAAGGTCTAAAAGAAACTTACTCCAAATGCAACATTGTACCAGTCAATGACCAATGTCTCAAGATCCAGTGAGCTCTGTAGAAAGCAGCAAATTCCAGGGAAGTCCAACTGTTCAGATTCCACAGCAAGTTCTAAGAACTTCCGGCTTGATGGTTGAAACTCCCACCCTTTCAACTCCAAGATGGACAAGCACTTACAAACAAAATAGACAAACCAAAATATGTCAAAACAAGGATATATGACATTCTTAATAAATGAAATGCAAATTGTAGAATAATTCATAAAAACAACTTTGACTTATACAACTGTTTTGCCGCATATGGTTGGTTTGAGAATCCAAAGATGGACCGATGAACACTTGGGAAAGCCCATTAACATGACTAAATAGTTTAACATGTTTTTCTAAAAATTGCAATTTTTTTCTTCTCACAATTAATCTTCCAATATTTTGCTCAAAAGATCTTGTTTCAACTTAGATTATCCCAAGTAGTGGCACTATTAATGTTACTAACTTACTATAGTGATGATTCAATAGCAAATAAAAAGTCCCTAAAAAGGATCTGAATTTTGGACAGTGAAGAGTATGAATATACCTCGATGCACCAGGATCCCAAGTTAAGATTCTCGACATGGGCAATGCTGTCAAGAAGTTCCTTAAAAAACCTAAATTCCTTTTCCATGTTTTGCTCTTCGTCCTCAAAACCAAAATCTAAAAAAGCACCGCAATAACAAGTGATGCCACATTTATGATGTGTATCTCACTGCACAACCCCAAAATTTGCAATTTTTGAATATAAGGGGCTAATAATTCGAGCCAAAGGTCATAATTCTCATTTCTATAGTTGTGTATAATAAATTCTCTCTTCACAGAGCTTATTTCCAAACGATGTATGCCTGAAATTTTTTCCAATTCCAAGTACTCCAAGTTCGGGCAACCGGATAATACCTTTTCCATGACACCATCTGTGAATTCAATGTAAACAATTGAAAGAGAAACGACTCCAGTTAACATTGCCAAAAGGGTTCAATTGGCAACTCCATATAACCAAATTCCTCAATGACGCATTTTTATATGCAAATTAAGGAAACTCATATCTTCGGTTATTTGTAAAAAGTTCCAAGTGTAAGATCTTCAACGTTAGCAAGTTTGGTGGCAAAATGAACCCATATATCAACATCTTTAGCATAACGCTCCTCGTACTTACGATACCACACTCTGAGTTTTCTCGCAAGACCTCCAATAATAAAGTTCTCTGTGGATAGAAACTAGGTAATCACGAGTGTCATTTTCACTAACCGAGAAGTTTAATTCGAGTGATGTTGGAACAAATTTCCAGAGAAATTGTCATCGTTCAGACAATACACTGGTTCTCACAACTTCTTTATTTTTCGGCAACATAGAGAGGATGTGAAGTAGGATTGAATCGGGCAAATCGTTGAGTCGGTCTCCTCCCGCCATGAGTTTCCTTTGCATTTCCATGGAGTACAACTAGTACTATGTCTTCAAGGTGGAGGGTTTGTGGAGGTGTTGATTGGGTCAACGAAATCGGGTAAGTACTCGGTAATTTAGGCTGATTTCCCTAAACCAAATATATAGTTGGCAAAAAAAAAACATAAATAGAGAACTTTTAAAGAACTATTACATATACATGTAAACATTAATTGATTATCAATTATGACATATAAAACATTAACTTCTTTTTTTTTTTATAAAGTTAAAGTTGTATTCTTCGGCATTAAGGGTATGCTGGCTACCTCCAAAAAGTTACAATATAAAACCATAATTACATAGATCCTAGGAAATCTACCAACTGTTCTACTTCTTCTATACCATCTTCTTTACACCAAAAAAACAACATGTTAATGCAATTTTCTTTAACTTTCTGAATAGAGTTGGTAATATTCTCATGACACCTAAGGTTTCTTTCTCTCCAAATAACCCACCAGGCACAAGTAGGTACTATAGACCACCATCTTTTTTGGGTCTTGCCCCCTCCCCCTCCTCTTCCAGCAGCTCAAAAGATCAGCAGTATGTTCTGGCATCACCCAAGGCTCTTGAGAAATGTTGAGAACCATGCGCCACATCTGGCTAGTAACCCTACAGTGTAGGAATAAGTGGTTGTTAGTTTCTTTCTTCTCATGACAAAAAAAACATCTGGAAGCCTCTTTTCTTGATTTTTCCTGAGTGAGACATGCCCTTCTGATGACCAACCAAGTGAAGCATTTCACCTTGGTTGGGGTGTTGCCCTTCCATATTTGTTTCCATGGACCAAGAATTCCCCCAGAGTGAGTCATGACCTCTCTCTTATACAGTCTACGCACAGAATGCTTACCATCAGAGTTATGTTTCCATCTTATACTATCTGCTTCTGTAGTAAGGCCCGTGAATTCATCCAATTTGAGTAGCAGTTCAACAATTCTATCCATTTCCTAATCATTTAGTTTCTCGTGAAAGTGAGGTTCCATCCCTGAGGGGACCAAATCTCAGCAATTTTAGCCTCAGGATTGGTACAAAAAGAAAAAAAGATCCGGGAAGACCGAGTTTAAACACTCTTGCCCAATCCACTTGTCCTTCCAAAAAAATATTTCCCATAAATTTCTGATTGATCTCCAAACTGATACCCCATACGTGCTATCTACTACATTAGACACCCACTCCTCCATCTGCCCATACTTGTTGAGAATTGCTTTCCTCCATAATGCCTGATCTTCAACCACAAATTTCCAAAGCCATTTAGAAAGTAAACTTTTGTTCTGGACCCTTAGATTTTTTATCCCAAGACCTCATGTCTTCTTACTTAGTAAGGATGTCTGCCATTTAACTAAGTGTATTTTTTTTCCCTTCTTTGTTCCCCGACCATAGAAAATCACACTTTAATTTATCCAGCCTCTCTTCTACCTTTCCTGGTAAAGGGAAAAGTGACATAACATATGTAGGCAACGCATCCAAAACTGAATTGATCAGAGTGACTCTTCCTCCCAGAGATAGATAGTTTGCCTTCCAATTAGCCAACCTCTTCTCTATCTTCTCAATGATTCCATCCCAAATCTCAAGCTCCTTGTGATTATTTCCCAAAGGCATTCCCAGGTAAGTAGTTGGTAAGTGCTCTATCTTACATTGCAAGATGCTTGCCAACAGCTGAATATTTGCCACTTCCTTGATTTGGAAGATGCTGCTTTTCCCCCAGTTCACAGCCAGTCCGGAGATGGCCTCAAAAAATACACCAAAACAACTCTAATGTAACTAACTTGTTCTGCCTTTGCATCGCAAAATATTAGTGTGTCATCTGCATATAAAAGGTGACATATTTGTAAATTGACCCCTGATTGATTACCAATGTTGAAACCCTTTATCCAGTTGTTATGTTTTAATATATAAAGAAACAATCTACATAAATTACCTAAACAAGGATAATAATTAAAGATCAATTCCATTAATCAAGAATCCATAAATCCTTGTGTTCTTTCCTACAAATTTCATCACTTAAGTTAGTAGATACTACATTTCTTCAAAATGGAACTATAAAGAAACATACACATATTATATCTATTTCAAACTGACCAAGCTTGCATCACTTGATTAGTAGAGGAAAATCTTGGTTGTAAATGTAGTTTAGTCGTAAACTCATTATCATATGAAGAATAAGAAATGTTTAGATTTGGAGAGAACTTATTCATACATACTGATATGTAATGAACCATTAAATTATTCTCAAAACATTGAGAACAAATTCACATGCTTACCACAAGAAGCAAGAGATAGGCATTACCTCTTTAAACTATTATATCCAAATTGTCATTAAAATTCACATATACTATTTTAATTGACACTTACAAAATTATTAATTTAATATTTAATTACATACTTGTAACACCAATTTCACATATGATATCATTCTAGAGTTACAATTATTTGAAATTAGATAAAGTATTTCTTTTTAGCTATTCAACTCCATTTTCCTATATGTTGTGCATATCTTTTTGGTTTGCATTTGCAAAAAGAATTGAGAGATATGACATGATGACTGATTTTATTTTCAATATGAAAGTTTTTTTTCTATTCTCCTAAAAAAGAAATATGTTTTTTTCTCTCTTCAAAGATTCAACTTATTCATGCTCTCTCTTTATCAAAATAAAATAAAATTGTATTCATGCTCTCTTCCCTTGCAAGCTCTCCATCTCTCATTTTGATTTCTCCCCAAGCATGAAGCTCTTCAATCGACTTCCTGAGGAATGTTTTATAAGAATTTGAGCTCCATATTGATCTTATTTTTTTCAAACAAAAGTTCTTATTTTTTGGGTAATAAAATTTAGGATTTTATAAAGAATAGTTATTATTTCGCAATTTTCTAATAGTGGTATTAGCTTCCTTTGAAGCTCAATCTATTGAAAGTGGCAAATAGTTAATTGGTCGCTAAAATCAATTTTTGAAATCACGATCATTAGTTTCTCAGAGTTGCACTAATGGAAAATTGGGAAATGGAATCATACCGGCTAGTTGTCGAAGAAGTATTCATCGAAATCACTAGCACGACATCAGATCGCCATAATTAAAGACATTTATCGCCACACTTACAATCGCAAATCAACTGACAAACTGATGAGCAGATCATGAAAAAAATAGAGAACATGTCAAACAAGACCCTGCAAAAGATGGTCAAATCACGAGGCAACATACAATCGTGAGTCTGATCCACAGCCCGTACATTAAGAAGATGGCAATCTATTAGAGGAGCATACAACTAGACTTCAAATTGTGAAACAGTCATAACTCCTAGCTCAGGATGAGTTAGGTGTATTTCCAGTTATTTTTAGAAATCCCTTGGAATGATCTTTCCAACGCCACCGAGTTTGCTCGATTCCGAGTTCGTATGAGTGAGTTAATCCCTTTGGAAGTTGGGCTGTTGGCAGGGCAGTTAACCCGATTTTGTAAGGGTATTTTGGTCTTTTCCCTAGCCATTTCTTTTGGGTTATATTGAGGTGTTAGACTGATTTTAAATCAGTTTTCCTTTTTTTAAAAAAGAGTGAGAGTTAGGGCTTTTGAGAGAAGAGAGAAAGAAAAGGAGAAAGAGAAGAAGGAGCAAGGTTTCGTCAAAGATCGTCGTGGATATTGTCGAGGGTGATCCCTACTAGGTATGTGAGATCATAGTGTTGGGTTGGTTCATTCCCCCACACGCCAAACTCGTTTTAATTCCGAGAAAAGATTATTTGTGTTGTTGAAATTGTGGTTTTGTTGTTGAAGTTCCTTGTTGATTTGGGACATGTTTTTTATTGTTTTTGTGAGTTGAAATCTATTGTATGTTGAGGGGTTTTATGATTCTAAGTGTTTGGGGCTGAAACCTTTAAAGTTAAGGTGGTTTAGAGTTGGAAAAACAAGTGAGAAAAGTCGAGTTTTCTGGGGAAAGGGGTGGCGCGTCGCGCCTGCCAGCGTGCCCCAAAAGGGATTCTGAACTTTCCCCCTTGGGGCGGTGCACCTAGTAGTGCGTTACAACAGACCCTCTAAACTTTGAGGGCTGGCGCCCCGCGCCTCTCAGAGCGCCAAGGAGGCCAACCCTTCCCATTTATCCCCCACTTTCTCAAGCATGTTCCTTGGTTATGTACCTATGTTTAATAGTTGTTTTCAACACTCCAAGGTACGTCTAAACGTCGGGAACTCCTCCATAAACATGTAATCATACACCTTGAATCCATAATCCAATTCGAGGGAAGTTAGGATCAAAGTCAAGTGAAGTTAAGAGTCAAGTTTAGAAGTTAA